TTTATTTTTTTTCTAAATTTATTTATTAATGCATACAAGAGCTGGGGTACAGGTCAGAGGTGTGGGGGGTGAGAGGAATCACCAGAGCCAGAGTGGGGAACTGAACACACTCCTGGTTGACTGAAGTACACTCCTGAGGAGAGCAGCAGGCAAGTCAGGAAAGGTCTGCTGAGCCATGTGGTTGCTTCCTGGCTGGCTGGGGATCGAACTTGTGCTGCTGAGGCTGTGGACAGCTTCGTAGGTTGCATCTTAACCCCTTGCGCCACCAGGGAGGTCCCTATGACTGTGTTTAATCATATGTTAAAAATTTTTTTAACAAGGAAGATTGCTGAGGCTAGAAAGCTTGAAAGACAAGTGCTTTCCCTGATGCCTTATTTCTCTCTGTGTTTTCTCTCTCACATAAGATATCAGCATGTCTTCCCATTGCCTCCCGATTTTCCACTCACATCCAGAGTGTTTGTGATCCTGTAGGGTATACTGAAGATGTCAGGGGAGACTGAGGAGACAGAAGGTTTGCCCCTAACAAATTTCAAGCTCCCAGGCAGGGGTTGGTCCCCAGTATTTCTTCCCTGATGCATCTCTACTCTCCTCTTCAGTGGTTTTCCTTGATTCACAGCAGTTCTGTCCCCCAAGCCCCCAAACTCCTCAACCTTTTCCCAGTGCCCAGTAATGCATACATAAAAGCCCTTGGAGGTACAGGGCTCCTGAGCAGGTGCCTAAGGCCTAAGTGATCTCCACTGTCATTTGCCTGTCCCCTTCACCATTTTTGGTAAAGAAAATTCTTTGCAGGAAGGATACCCATTGAGCCCCTACCTCTCTTTTGGAAGGTCAAATGCTGCATAGTGTCTGAGGAAGATCAGAAGGATGTATAGCCTGCAACTCCAACCAGATAAGACCAAATACCCAGATCTTTTCCATGTATGACACCGAGCGAGCGAGCGAGAGATTGAAGACAAAATATATAGAGATATATATACACACACACCCATACATACACACACACACACACACAGCATGGAAGTTTTCAAAGATTTTCTAGAGAATAGATATTAATAATACAAGAAAAGGTGAAAAGAAGCCTCAAAGTTAAATAGAAGAAATCACCTTTTATATTAACTAAACATTTTTCTTTCACCTAAGTGTTGTATGTACAGATCCAGCCTCTCATTGCAAGGGTAGAAATAAAAGTATTGATCAAATGACCATTTTTGTGATCTGCGTTTCTTGTGACCTAGAGCCTCTCGGTATGTAATTGATTTCTAGAGATGCTTAGAATTTTATACTTCAGGGACTTAAAACATGTGGGAGGTTGAGCCGCATATGTGATACCTCCTGAGTAAACGGAATAAATTTCTCTCCCACTTTTGCTAGTCTTCTCATCTGTGTGAGTCAGAAACCATGCTGACCTCCTCTTGAACATCTGGGCTGTTGTGACCAAAAGGCCCGGATGTCCAGATTTTTCTTTTAACAGTTCTGCTGAACATCACACAGGAGATTTTTCTGCTGCTCTATGATAAAGGCCAGTTGAGAGCTGGTGTTAATATGCCTGCCTTAGAGCCAACCAAAGTGACTTGGAAGGTTGAGATCTTTAGGTCTGTGGTTATAATTACCAAAAATATATCAGTAAGCTCCAGGTGAGCAGGGCCATTTTCCATGTGATTCATGTAAATATTTGATAATGCCTGAGGAATGAAAAACCATCAGAATCTTAGCCAGCATTTTAATTCTCCCATCTTGGTAGAGAAGGTGGGAGGTCCATTATTAGACACCTGCAGGAATTCAGGATCATATTTAAATGTGTTTAAATAGTATTAAATGAGAATTATTGCTATTTAATTGCTATTTTGTATCAGCTAATCTATAATACATGGTTGATGTGACTTCCAGGCATACTATCAGAATAAAAGATGTTGGAGTTTTTCTTAAACATACAGAGTAAGGAGATTCTCCCTATAAGGAGATAACAAATCAGTATTTGGCTGAAAAGTGACTAATCCTCTTTGAAGCAGAACAAAAGCAAAGTGAAGGGAAGGACTAGTTCTGTATATTTGAAAGCTGCAGAAAATCACTGCCCTTTTATGCCATTTTGCAGGGTGGAGGTTGGGCAGGGTAGTTTGCCCTGAGGAGCTGGTTTTGAGGTTGTACAGACCACAGAGGAGAGTCCTTCTGCACCTGCAACCTTATAAAAATTACTCTTGAGCTACATCAGGACATTCTTCCTCAAGGTGACTGCTGGATACATTTAAATACAAAAGAAGTTTCTTCTGGTTTCCTGATGGTGATGAATGTGCAAAGATCAACTGAGCTGCTAAAATGACTGTAAATGAAATTAAAAGGCGCTGCGCTTGAACTGTTCATTCAGCATTTGTTCTCCTTGGCTTAACCCGAGCAGGGCAGCTGAAGGCCTTTTTGTGAACCCAGTGTATAAATAAGCAGATTAGTAAGGATGTGTGTTTTAACACAGTGTTTGCGGCTTGTGCATAATTTGACTTGCAAAAGGACATTTAATAAATAATTCTTAGGGAAATACTTTCGGAAAGGAGAGGGTAAAAGTGAGTTCTTGCTTGTTGTTGGCATCCGGAAGGTCATTTGTCTGGTTTTGCATCATTGTCACCTTGAAAAGGTGTTGCGTCTTACTCCAATAATAGATGACTGAGAGCCATCTTATCTGTGGAGCTCCAGCCTGCCAAGATCCCAACGGACTCCTGGTGGACATCTGTGGACATCTGGACTGCAGAGGGAGGGCTAGAACAGATGGTGGGGGTGGGGAGCGGTGGGAGAGGGTTCATGGTAAGATTGCTTGGGCAGGACTACAAAGCCTCTGACTGACAAAGGAGTATTTCTTGGGGTTCAGAATCATTCTCATCTCAAGAAGAACCACATCTCCTCCCTAAGTGAGGTGACTGTATGGGTTACTATCTTAGCAGCTCCGACCCCAGATGTGTGGCACAGAGGACCACACAGTGCAGTGTGACTTCCGTAGGGGCGCAGCTTGCTACCCTTTTGGTGGTGAGGTCAGTTTCCGGGAGGACCCTCAACAATGATATTTTCCAGATGTTTCTTCTCTTCTGTGCTCTCTGGCTATGTCTTCCTCCCATCATGCTGTCCTTCCAGTGAAATTGAGATAAAATTCTGCTTAGGGTTGTAGACATGTTAGAATCACTCAGCAGTAGGAAGTGATTTATTATCTAGGCCTTATATTAATATTTATAATAGCCTCTGCTGCTGGTGCATAACATAAACTCTTTTTTCCCCTGTTCAAGCCCAAATATTGAAATAACACCCAGGAGTAGCTTTTTAAAAACATTATTTCTAGTGGTGCAATAGTTTGTAATAATCTATGTGGTACTTTATCGTTTTTCAAATATCATTTTGATTCTGTTACCTTATTTAACATCAAACACAAATCTGTGAGGAAAATATATTTTTACCCTTATTTTACAGATAAAGAATAATTTGCTCAAGGTCATACAGATAATTGCGGGAACTAAATTTTAGTTCTGACCCTTTAAATTCACATCTTTTATATGTTCTTTTCACGAATTTTACCACACTGCCTCTACTCTTGGTTTTTGCCCATATAAAAATGGGAATGAAGAGCCTCCCTGGTAGTGCAAGGGGTTAAGATGCAACCTGTGAAGCTATCTACAGCCACTGCAGCACGAGTTCCATTCCCAGCCAAGGAGCTACCCACATGGCGCAGCAGACCTCTCCTGACTTGCCTGCTGCTCCCCTCAGCAGTGAATTTCAGTAGATTTGCCTATTCTGCTCCCCACTCCGTCTCTGGTGACTCCTCTCACTCCCCACACCTCTGGCCTGTACCCCAGTTCTTGTATGCATAAATAAATCTTTTAAAAAATGGGAATGAAAAAAAAGTAAGCAGCTGGAAAATTAATTTGTTGAAAGAACCTAATTTTTCTCACAATTTCCTAGTCGATCTTTCAGATAGAAGACTTATTGCCTTAGATCGGTAATGAAATTAGCCCCCTGCAAAATTCTTGGGTAAAACAAGGTACAAGGCTAGCTGGTCTTGCCTCACTACTCAGATGGAAAAACCAACGCTTCACAATGCTAAGATGCCTTCTGCTCAATCAGTGATAGGAGCCAGTGGACCCGCCCTAGGGGAGGGGGGTCAGAATGGAGACCTGTCTTTTAGAATCTTGAGCCTCTTTTTTCTATCAGCATTTCAAAAGCCTGAATACATGTCCTTGTCTGCTTTTCCCTTGCGAAGGTAAGCGGTGGAGGCCGCCCCACTTTGTTCAAAAGGCCTGGCTCTTGAGTTTGTGAAACGTTGGCGCAATGTGAAGCTGGACATTCCAGCCACATGGGCCAATATCCGCGTTATTTCACGTGCAAAATCGAGCAGTTAACAATTCTCTATTCTGGGCGTATAAGAACCCATGCCAAGGAAAGTTAAATGGACGTGGAAAAAATGTAACCCAGGTCCTCCCTCATGGCGCAAGGGTTAAGACGCAACCTATGAAGCTGTCCGCAGCCTCTGCAGCACGAGTTCCATCCCAGGCCAGCCAGGGAGCTACCCACATGGCACAGCAGACCTCTCCTGTATGGCCCGCTGCTCCCCTCAACTGTTCTGTTCCCCACTCTATGTCTCTGGTGAATCCTCTCACCCCCTGAATCTCTGGCCTGTGCCCCAGCTCTTGTATGCATAAATAAATAAATCTTTTTTAAAAAAAGAAAAGAAAAATGTAACCCAAAGATTCAGAACCGTCGCTTTGCGAATGCAGTGATTACTTGCATAAAAGTGAGGCGCTCGCTGCGCCGAGACGGTTTTCATAATTGCACAAGTATTTCACAGGCGCAGCCTGTCTCGATTACGTTTGCTGTCGGCTGCCCCGAGTCCTGCCCCTTCCGAGAGCCAGGCTGTGATGGGGGCCTCCGCCCCACCTGCGTGCGCCCGGGTAGAGCCAGCCCCGCCAGGTCGCCTCCGCCCAGCGACGGGTCGGGGCGCGCGGCCCCGGGGGCGGCTCCCGCCGCGCAGCTGAGACGCGATTCGTCACTCTTGCAGAACTTTCCCCCTGAAAATCCCTGCAGCAGAACCAACCCTCCCCGCGGCTCTGGGGAGGTTTTGATTTTGGTGACTTTTCCTTCCTTTTATTTCCCGTCGTGTGCGGGGTTTGGCGGCGGAGCAAACTCGCAGCTCGCCCGAGTACATGTCAGCGGTAATCGCCCCCGCAGCCGGGTCCCCTGCCACCATGCACTCCGAAGCAGAAGAGCCCAAAGAAGGTATGATTTTAATTTCTCGCGGGGGTCCGCCCAAGTTCTGCAGAGCAGTGGGGAGGGAAGGCGGAGTAGGGGCGCAGCTGGGAGTTGGAAAGTGAGCTGTGGGTAGTCAGCTCGCCCTGCCTTGCGCCTTCGGGCTGGGCGCTGGGTGGGTGCAGCCCTGTACCCTGAACTCCTCAGCACAGAGGTTCCAAGTCGAGGTGGGGATCTGGGGAGCAAGCTCAGGCTGCCCACTAAAGGCTGCTTTGTAGATCTTTCGGGAAACCAAACGTGGCCAGTATTGACTCCAAGAACGCAAAGTGTCCTTGGAGAGGCGCTGCCTCCTGGCATCAGCACAGCCGAAAAGCCGATGCACTGGGAGAGCCTTAAGACTCGAGGGTCCCTTGAAATGTGTTTCAAGAGAGTGGAAACTCCGTTGTTTCCGGCTGAAAGGGGAAGCTGAGTGTGGGAGAGAAGAGAAAGATATTTCTTTGGGAGGGATGGCTTGCCTACTTTTTTTCTTGCGCCTTTCAGCAGTGAATTCATTTTGTTGGGGACTGAGGGACCTGAGAGATTTGAGGGGGGCGGGCACTTGGGTAGCTTGAAACCGAGGAGAGTTTGTCTGTTTCTAACTTTGCCAAAGCAAAAGGTTTCATTTACTCCTAACAGAGAACGGGTGACAGAGCTGGAATAGCTCCAACCAAAACACAATTATGCTCTGGTGTTAGCTCCGCGAGTTTATTTGTGTGTGAGTGTTTGTATGCTTTGTTTGCTGAAACTTTATGTATACAACAGTCCTCTTGTCAGAGGGGGTCGGAGAGGGGATAGTTGGAGAAAATTAGAGAATCAGAGAAGAGGCTGTTCAAGATTGTGAAATGCCTTTTCTTTTCAAGTGGCCTCTTGGGAAGCTGGTAAATTTCAAGTCAATCACAGTGATTCTGGGAGCCCTAAGCCCTCTTCATTCAGTACACCCTAGTGAGGAACAGCCCTTGAAACTTGTCCTCTTCTGTTTTTTGTTTTTTTTAACCGATTCCCCTCCCAGAGTAAAGCCTTGTGTGTTTTAATGTAGTCTGACATTCACCTTATTATGGGTAATAATCAGGGCTGACGTCTGCTTTATTATGCTGTGTGAGGAAAGCAGTCAGTAAAACAGGCTAGTTTAATAGTCACATCAGACTGGTGTGAATGAAAAAATGACAGGCAGGAGCATTGTTTTTTGAACTGGATGTGGAGCTTGGAGGATGAATGTTTCCTTGCTGTGGCCTCTGTCTGATGGAGCTACCTGCAGATGGATACTTTTTGTCTCTGCCTTTTTTTAAAGATTTTTTTATTTATACAAGAACTGGGGTAAAGTCCTGAGGTGCGGGAGGGTAAGAGACAGAGCAGGAAGGAGAACAGGCAGACGAACTGAAAGTACTGCTGAGGGGAGCAGTGGGCGAGACAGGAGAGGTCTGCCGCACCATGTGGATATCTCCCTGGCAGGCCCTGCATCGAACCTGCGTTGCAGAGGCTGTGGACAGCTTTACAGCGCTGCACTCAACCCACTGCACCACTAGGGAGGCCCTCGTCTCTGTCTTCATAACAGCGATTCCTGTAAAGTCAAAAGTAGCAGAAAGAACAAAGGTGATAGGCAGAGAGAATCTAGTGGTCAGCTTGTGTGTGAATTATAAGTAATACTTAAACTGGTATTTTCTACTAGGCATCATTTTCCTTTCTTTTGGGAAGGAAGGAGTGAGGGCTAAGTGGAAAAACAGTAGCCCCAAGTATATTACACATTCTTCTAGGAACATCTATGTTCTTTCTTTTTTGCCCAACCCTCTGGTTGTAACCCTGAAGACGGGAGTGTGAGGAGGTCCCTAAAATCTCCCCTCCTACTTGTTCCTCACTTTACCTCCACTTGCCTAATTTATGTTCAGCAGATCTGTGTAAATTATCTGGCCTTTGTGCTTTTTACAGAAAGCTCCGAATGTTTTTTGTTTCTTGTTTTTTTTTTTTAAACAATAACATGAAGTGCTAGAGTTTTATATTGATGACAATTAGGGGAGGATATTGAATAATTCTTCAGGGAGACTAATCAAACATTTCATTAACAGTAGCATTGTAGTTTCTGCCAGGAAATTAAAAGGGTGTGTGTGTGTGTGTGTGTGTGTGTGTGTGTGTGTGTGAGTGTGTGTGTCCCGGGCATTTCTTGCAAGGTGCTGGTTATTGACTGTGATCTAGAACTCTCTGTTGAACTACTTAGATGTCCGTGAAGAGAGCTATGCTGTGTAAATAACTCAGTTATTTGCTGTGTTCTCTTTACTAAAAAATCCTTTCCCCTCTCCTGATGCCCACGCCCCCCACCCCCTCCATGGACTTATGAGTCCCATTTAGTGTGAGATCACCACAAGCTCCTCACAATGTCTGCATTGCAAGAAAATTGCCTTCGGATGCTTCATGCTTGATTTGCTGTAATGGGAGTTACTTTAAAGTCATTATTTTGAACTGCAGTGAAAGACTAGTATATTTTGTTTGGGGTCGAATCTGAAAAAAATATCAAGTCGGATTCAGAAGTCCTTGGGGGCCAAGATATTTGTGTATGTGAGTGAATGCAGAAGCAATGACTGGGGATATTGTTAAGCTCTCACAGCTTAGGATGTACCGGATTCCATGCCAGGAGTGCTGGACCTCCAGACTCAGTCTATAGCGACCTCCTTAAGAACGGATTTCATTTTGCCAGCTTACAAATGAATACGGTGATTGTGCTTGAGAATTAAATGCAGAAAACTAATCCAGGCCATACTTTATATAAAAACTGAATGAGTTTAAGATATGCAAGCTATCCACGGTCATGAATATGAACATGCAAGGGAAAGAAAGGAAGACACCCACATTATCAAAAAGGGGAAGGCCTTGGAGAGAAGATGATGGACTGTTCCAGCGTCCTGAGGGGGTGGGTTTATGGCCACATTTTTGGCATCTAGTTGCTTCCTGGTAAGTAAATTGCTCAATTATGACATAGTAAAAATGAATGGCAGTTCCCATCTCTGAGGACATTTCTAGCGCTAAGCATCAAGGGAACGAAGGCCCTTTGCCCTGGTCATTGTAGCTTTGGTATCAGAGATGGAGAAAATCATTGTTCAGGAGGCTTGCTTAGTGAGGACTTGGAACAGAGTTGAGGGTGAGCTGGGTGTGTGCTTAGCCCCCCACCCCTTTGCCTATAACAGCATTTCCCTGCGCTACCTCCTCCCATTATCCACGGCTTCACCAGGGCTGCTATTTCTTTTTTTCTTTTTATGATTTATTTGTTTATGCATACAAGAGCTGGGGCACAGGCCAGAGATGCGGAGGGTGAGAGAATTTGCCAGAGGCAGAGCGGGGAACAGAACAGGCAGCTTGACTGAAATACACTGCTGAGGGGACCAGTGGGCAATCAGGAGGGGTCTGCTGCGCCATGTGGGTAGCTCCCTGGCCACCCGGGGATCAAACTTGTGCTGCAGAGGCTGTGGATTGCTTCATAGTGCGGTGCTTAACCCCTTGCGCCACCAGGGAGGCCCCCTAGGGCTGCTATTTCACAAGGAAAACTGTCTATTGGCAGTAGCCAGTAGACAACAACCGCACTTCCTGCTCTCGCACTGCCAGACTCACCTTCACCTAAGATCTGCCAAGCCGAGTGGGGTCACGCCTGCTGCAGGTGTCTGTTCATCCTCCCTTGGGCTCCTCCCTGCTCCCGTGGGCTCCCTGCCTCTCCTGGCACCTTCCTTTCTGGTGCAGATGTGCTCAAACACCCCCCTCACCCCTGCATCAGCATCTTGGTACCTGCTCCTCGTTCTCCCTGAAATATCCTTCTCCGTGCCTGAAGCCTTTTTCTGCCTGCTCCTTAGAGACTTTTTCTGAACTTCCAGTCTAAACCAGAACCCCTGTTCCGTCTCTCAGAATAACTGTTCTTTCCCTCACTGGTGCACCCACGTTGTTTAGCTTCTCTTCTCCAGACCCCAAGCTGTTGAGGGAAGACTGTGTCTGATTTATTCCCTCACTGTATCTCCAGAACCCGCACAACAAGAGATCATTAAATATGTGTAGAATGAACCAATGATCTCCATTCTTTAAAAGAAACCCACAGTGGCCTCCCTAGTGGCGCAGGGGGTTACGAGGCAACCTGTGAAGCTATCCGCAAACAATGCAGCACAAGTTCGATCCCCGGCCAGGGAGCTGATCCACATGGCGCAGCAGACCTCTTCTGAGTCGCCAACTGCTCCCCTCAGCAGTGCATTTCAGTCAGTCTGCCTGTTCTGCTCCCCACTCTGTCTCTGGTGAATCCTCTCACCCCACGCACCTCTGACCTGTACCCCAGTTCTTGTATGCACAAATAAATAAATCTTTAAAAAATAAAAATAAAAAATAAAAGAAACCGACAGTTAATTGTCCAGTTTTAGGTACTTATCTCTCCTTTAAAATGAATCTTTAAGAAAACAAAACAAAACAAAAAACTTTGCCTAGTTCCTACGTTCTTTCTTTGTCACCCCTCATTCCTCTGAGTCTTTTTCTCGACCGCTTCCCTGGAATCACAAACTCACCCATGACTTCCCAGGTGCCAAGAGCCCCCTGATCCCACATTCATATTTCGGTCCTGATCTTCCTTCTTTTTCTTCTTCTTCTTTTTTTTTTTAAAGTGAAAAAAAAAATTTAAAAAGATTTAGTTATTTATTTAAACAAGCACTGGGTACAGTCAGAAGCGCGGGAAGGTGAGAGAATTCTCCAGAGCCAGAATGGAGAGCAGAGCAGGCAGATGGACAGAGGACACTGCTGAGGGGAGCAGCGGGAGGCAAGAGAGATCTGCGCGCCATGTGGGACTCTCGCCAGTGGCTGGGGATCGAACCGGCGCATCAGAGGCTGCGGGTAGCTTCACAACCCAGCGCTTAACCGCTGCGCCACTGGGGAGGCCCTTCCTTCTTTTTCTTTTGCTGCATTTGGCACCAAGTGACCTGTGTCCCTGCAATCCTAAACCCCTTCCTTGAATCCTTTGACCCTCTACTTTCCTGAGT